TCATGGCCGGATCGTAACTTCCCCATCTCTGGGCTGCTCACCGCAGATGGCAGTGGCGTCGATGAGAGGCAGCGAGGCTCCCCCGCCCCCCGCAGCAGAGGCCTGGGTCTTCGTGGCTCTCCTGAAGGGCGGGGGGCATCCGGACCTTGGGCGGGGGGCCTCGTTCCAGGGGGAGGCGCCGCTGCAGGGAAGGCGCGCTTCCAGGGTTCTGGTAGCTGGCACTGCTTAACTGAAGACGCCTGGAGCGTGCCAACCCTGCAGGATCGAATCGGCCGGGCAGGTGCTATGGGACGCAGGTGGTCCCTCAAGTAAGCAGGCCCTGTGGCATGTAGGGTTTTTAGGTCACAACCACCCCCTTGAATTGTGCCTGGAATCAAACCAGCAACTGGTACCGCTCACAAAGTAGGGGTGTTACAAGGGCATACTGAGGCATGCCCATGACTGCTTGCGCCACCGCATTCTGGACCAGTTGAAGCTGCTGGGTGGTCCTCAAGGGCAGCCCCACATACAGCACGTTGTAGCAGTTAATCCGCGAGATGACTAGGGCATGAGTGAATGCCTGAAGGGCCCGGCAATCTAGGAAAGGGCGCAACTGGCACACCAGATGGAGTCGTGCAAAGGAACTCCTGGCCACAACTGACACTGGAGTGCATGTCCAGGAAGACTCCCAGATTGCACACCTTGAAGGGGGACGTGCTACCTCATCCAAGGTCAAAGATGGAACGTCCCCCGATCTGCATGGTCCAAACACCCGCAGCTGGTCTTGACAAGATTGAATTGGAGACCGTTCCTCTCCATCCAAACCCACAGAGTCTCCAGGCACTGGGACAGAACCTTGACACCTCGCTTGGCTGGCCCTGGGGGTCTTCCACCTCTGGTCACGAATCAGGCTGCAGTGCCCACTTGGGACTGGCAAGCCACCTGGGCTCTCCGCTCCTGCACAAGGAGCAGGTGGCAGCCATGGCCAGGAAGATCTTCAAGCAGGTTCAGCTTGTGCATCTGTTGAGTCCATTCACTCGTGCCTTGGGCACCATACAGGCAGATTACTTGAAGATTGTTCAGAAGCTGCAGTTGGCCAGAATACAGAGGCATAAGTAGTGATGCCTGCATGGCATCCCTGCTCCGTGAGCTGCGCTGGTTATCAGTACCTGTCCGGGAGCAATTCAAGGGGCGTTAAAGCACGAGGCAGGGCCCAGTTCTCTCTCTGCTGCTGCACCTGTCTGTCCTGCACAGTCCAACAGATTCAGCTTGTTCTGGGTCCTGTCCATGGAGCAGGAGCCAGGAAGCGGCCCTCCTTTCTCGCTGCACCCTACCTGACTTTCAGCGAGCCTTAAAATGCTGGCTTTTCCCCAGAGCTCGGGAATGGGGTGAGTGATCTGTTTGATTTGGTCCCTCTGGGTGACTGCAGTTCTTTTCTTATATGATACCATTTTTTAAAAAAAGGTGAAATGGCCAAGAGTCATTCTGGATTCGGGTGCCCTAGAAATTTAACAAATAAATAATAGGCCCTGTATCAGGCCTTCCATGGCACAGTGGAGCCATTGTTCAAGTCAAGCCAAGGGATCGCCAGTGTGGGCTGCTCATAATGTGATGTGGCAGTAGCTTCCTCTCCTCCCTGTTGGCACAGCCCAGACCAGACTTTTGTCCCCGTTTGCCAGAGAGCCATCTTCCGGTTTCACACACTGCCGAATGTGCTGAACCATGGAATGGTCATTTGGTTGAAGCTCTCGACTAGGCTGTCGTATGAACCCAGCTGACCAGCTGTTACTTGGGGGCATCCTTCTTTCCTGGCTGGGCTAGGGCCCCAAGGTGGTGGCTGTGAGGGGCTGCTGGTCCTTCTGATTCTCATGCGATCAGCTGTGGAAGCACAATTCTTGCTGGTGACAGCTTGGCTTAGTTTTCTGCAAGAACCCCTTGTTAATGGGGAGCACATTGCCTCAACAGTCCTGGAGGTGCCTGCGTGCTTCAGGAAGAAGATTCACTTCCAGCTTGCTGGGTGGGCTCTGGGGGCCATGCTGGGCTGCTCTAAGTGGCAAGGGTTGAGCACAGAGAGCCGTGGTTTCCCTTGCACAAGGTTGGGTGGAAGTGAGGTACCGGAACCTCTGGAGCAAGCACTCTCCAACCCACACAGGCTGTCCATGTACACACTGACCTGCAAACACTCTGGATACTCTCACATGAGCAATGCAAGTGATCGTTGGCAACTGCTCATTTGCTTCACTTTCGCTCCCACCCCAGCTGCTGTTGGAGAGGATCCTTTTTCTCTGCCTTGCTGCTCTTCTGGGCAATAAACTGCAGGGGAGGATACAATCTCTGTTTTCCCTGGGGTCCTCGTGCCCCCCCCCATCTTGGTTCTCAAGCTTTCTTGCAAGCAAGCCTCTCATCTCTTCCCCAGTTCCTGTTGTTTTCGCACAACTCGCTTCCTGCCAAGAGCACACCCACAGTCCACAGAGTGGAGGGAGGGAAATGCCTCCCTCCTCAAGACCTCCAGAGGGGGCTAGCGAGCCCTTTTTTCTGCTAGGCTTTTATAGCCCTCCATCATTTTGGGAGGTGGCAAAGGCAAAGGCAGGACAGGAGGAGGGCAGCTGTAAAGCACAACCTGTGCCCATCTCAGGCTTTGGCCCAGAAGTCCTGCCTGGTGCCCACTACGCCTGCCCTCTCCAAAGCAGCAGATCCTTCCCTCCTGGGGATGGGGGAGGGGGGGTGGCACTCCAGCTCTCTGGGTTGGAAATGCCAAGGTCAGCGTCTGGGTGGATGGTGGGGGTGAGGCCTTAATCTGTCAGGGGAAGGAGACACAGAGACGGAGTCGTCCCTGAGCATGTACCCGATGCTGAGAGTGCGACCGACTCACCCAGTGGAAGGGGCGAAGCTGGTGAAAGTGGACCGGGAGGCGGCTCAGCTCGCGCTCGGGGCGGCGCCGGCCCAGTATCCCGCCTGCCAGGTGCAACTCGAGGCAGCCCTGGCTCCGCCCGACGGGAGGGGCCTGGCCGCCGCCCAAGAGGCTGGCCCGCAGGGTCGCTGGGCCGCGACGTGGTGGGGCGGGCGCCGGCTTCGCTTCTCCAAACGTTTCCTTGTTCTTCCGCTCGGTTTGCCGCGACCGGCTCTTCGCTCCGCCGTCGGGTCCATGAGGCGCGGCGCGGTGTTGGCGGCCTTCGCGCTGGCCTACGCGGGGTATCTGCTGCTCGGAGCGCTGATCATCTCAGCCGTCGAGCGACCCTACGAGAGCCAGCTGAGGGCCGAGCTGCGGGACCTTAAGAGCGACTTCCTGCGCCACAGCCCCTGCCTGTCCGAGGCCACGCTGGAGCGTTTCCTGGGCGCCGTCCTGAGCGCCAACCGCCACTCCGCAGCCCTCCTGCGCAATGGCTCGGCTGCCGCGTCCAACTGGGACTTCGCCTCTGCCTTCTTCTTCGCCAGCACCTTGATCACCACTGTGGGTGAGTCAGCGCCGGCCGCACTTCTTCGGTGAAAGGTGGCCACGTTCTCCTCCACTTCCCACGGGTGATTCCGGGCGCAGTGGGCGTGGAAGGGCCGGGCCGGGCCGGGCCGGGCCACAACCGAGCGCCTAGGAAGGTGTCAGTGTCGGGAGGGGTTCAGCGGGCCTAGAGCCGAGGCGCACGCACCCAGCCACCGCCCCCGGCTCTCGGGCACGGCCTCCTTTTCGCGCTTCGACGCGGCGCCGTATCTCAACCGTCCGCGGACAGGATCCTGAGGAAGAACTGCTGGTGCAGGTGAGCAGCCGGGGCTGCTGGGACGCTGCAGCTCGCTTCCTCGGCTTCGGCTGGGGCCCGATGGATGCTGTTGAGGGCCGAAGCAGCGCGCAGGGAGCGGGAGTTGAGTGCGTTCGTTGGCTCTGCGTAAGAGCCGAGCCGTCGGTGCGGTTCTCTGCTGGTAGAGCCCAGCCAGATACGGTCCCTGCAGCCCGCTTCTCACCGGAAGGGCGCGGACGGAGCTGCCAGGGGTTAGCCGGGTGCCCGGGGCTGCGTCGCCTTGCTCGGCGGTTCAGGACCCCAGGCAAGCCGCCCTATCGAGCGCCTTTCGGGCTCGTGTGGCTGCGTGAGCTGGGAGCAGCCCACCGGCTCGGCCCGTTGCCTTGCCCGGTGGCGGCTGGCTCGGGAGTCAGCTTCTTCGTAGCGAGCATCAGGCAGCTCCTGAAGCCGCGCCCGGGGCGCAGGCCCGATTTCAGCAAGGGCCGCCTCTTCCTCGGCGGGCTGCAGGGGCCCTGCAGGGCTTAAGCCCGGAGCAGGCTTGCTTCTCGACCGCCTTCCGGAGGGTGTCTACGGCCCTCCCGCCACCGAGGAGAACGGCCTGAGCTTAAAGGAAGAGGGGGCTGCCGCGTTTGGGCGTGCGGTGCCAGAAGGCGGGGAGGAGACGGTCTCAGCGGCTTCTGGGCTTCCAGCCGCTTGTCTTCTCCTGCCGTAAACCGGGACGGAGCAGCAGGGAGGAAGCGGCTATCCTGCCACAGACCTCCCCTTAGCCCTGATAATGCTTCGTTGCCCATGGTCCCAGTGCTCTGTCAAACAGGTTGCCACCCTGGTGCCCTCCACAGTCAGGTTCCATCAGTGGCAAGAGACGATTTCTTGGCTTTTTTGCCCACCGCCAGTGGTAAAATCTCATGTCCCCACAATTTTTATCTAACGGCAGGTACATTCACAGAAGCGGGTTCTGCAACATTTTATTAACAACTCAGTTACATAAATATTGCACAAATTGTCATGTAGAATGAATATGAAGATACGCTTGTGATTATAGAACCCACAAAAGTGGGCAAAAAAGAAACGAGCTGATTTCCCTCCTCCATCTCTTTTTGGGGAGAGGAAGGATGAAAGGCATTGTGGGTAGATGCTGAGCTTTGGCTTATGGGGCAGATGTGCCGGTGTTTCCTTAGAGAAGGGTCCCTAGCCCTGAGCACCGGTGGTCCCTTGCCACACAGAAGGATGGGGTACCCAACCCAGGAAGAGACCACTGCTGTTTGGGCCTCCTGGGATTGGGCCCAGACACATGTCAGCTGGCCAATTTCTCCAGCAGGGAGAGGGTGTGCCACCCTCTGGTGTGCAGCTCAGGCTGTAGTGAATTTATCCTTTAGGGCAGAGCCCTCCCAACCAACCGCCTGTCTGAAGAGCAGGGGCTTAACCCAGAACCCCGCAGTCTTTCAGTAGCTGGGCGCAGGCGGTGGAAGATATTAATGGGGATTAGGCAGAAGATGGGGCTGGGGCTCCCCACCCTCTGGCTCCAGGGCTCCTGCTATCTCACCAGTCATGGGGTGCTGGCACCCACCTAGCTGGGGCTTTTCTTTGTGAGCGTACAATCCTCAGGGAGGCTCTTGCAGCACGTGAAGGCCGCCCTCAGGCCAGGAAAGGTGGAAACTGCTTCTCTGTGCCGTGTCACCTCTGTCTAGACCTGGTGTGTCAAGATTTGTTCTCTTCAAGAAGGAAAAGCCTTTAGAGGATCCCAGCAATGATTAAGCCATTATGCTTCCAGCCCAGGCTCTTGGGCTAGGGCTAAGGCTAACTTTGGCCTTCAGCCATTTCCTGTCAGATTTGGGCTTTATCGTGACCGGCTCCCACACATTGGTGTCTCTTGCGTGCCACAATATCCAGAGCCTTTCCCTCCCTTTCCCACTCTGCATTTGCATACTTTGTGAAATTCAGGTTGCTCCATGAACGTTGTTTCCCCTCAGAAGGGCTGAAGTTCGTTTGCCTCCTGCCTATGAGCCATGTGAGGTCTGCTATCCAAACAAGAATTTAGCCCCGCAACGACTCATAACCCTTCAGCCCCAGCTCCCGCTTGCCTGTGGGCTCAGTGGAGGGACACCCGGCTCTCTGCCCTCGGCCCCAGGCGCTGCGTGTGGGGCAGCTTTTGGTCACTCCTTTGGCTGCTGGTGCTCACCCGTCCCTCCTCCCCAGGCTACGGTTATACTACACCCCTCTCGGACGCAGGCAAAGCCTTCTGCATCTTCTATGCGGTGCTGGGCGTCCCCTTCACCATGCTGGTGCTGACAGCCGCCGTGCAGCGCCTTGTGGGCACCTTCACCTCTGGGCCTCTGGAATACCTGGCCCTGCGTTGGGGCTCCAACCAACGGGTCCTGTCGTGTGGGCACCTGCTGGCACTGATGGGCCTGGTGTTGGCCACCTTCTTCTTAGTGCCTGCTGCCATCTTCAGTTCGCTAGAAGAGTCCTGGAGCTTCCTGGATGCTTTCTACTTCTGCTTCATCTCCCTCTGCACCATTGGCCTGGGAGATTACGTCCCTGGGGAACAGCCCGGGCAACGCCTTCGCCCCCTCTACAAGATCTCTGTCACAGGTCAGCAGCGCTGTGCCCTGGGGGAGTGAGCACTAAGGCCAACCTGCCAGGACAGCATCCAGATGGGGAAGGCCGAGCAAATCTACCCTTTCATTACTGGGCACCCCAAACCCATCACTTCACATGGGAAACGGTTGATACCCTTAAGCTGTGCCTCAGCCAGATGGGGGGGGAACCTAGGAGGGGCCCCTCGTATCTTCCACACCTGCCCCTTGCTCACTATCCCACCTCTCCTTCCAGTTTACCTGCTTCTGGGGCTCATGGCCATGCTGCTGATACTCCAGACCTTCCACAAGCTGGCAGACCTGCACGGCCTCTCTGACCTGGTCTTCTTGTCCCCGGACCAGCCTCCTGAGGAGCACCAGAGCATCCTAGAGGAGCGCAGCCCTCCCTCTGAGCCTGGGCAGAGGGGGACGTTGCCTGCGCACCCCCGGCCAGGGGGACAGGCACAGTATTCCTCCATTAACAGATAGCAAGGAGTAGGACGGTGACCGTCAGGGCTCAGCCACAAGGAAGACTCACTGCTCTCCTCTTTACCGAGCTTCTCTGCCCCCGACCTGGGAAATGAGGCTGCTGGACAGTCCGTTGTGAGCAGAGGGCTGGGAATGCCAGCTGCTCTCTCAGACCAGAAGAGATTCTTCTGGCTCTTGCCTTTGGGTGAGCTCGCGGTGGGGATTTTATTTAAAAAGCACAGATAAAAGGCTGGAACTTCCAGGCACTTCACTCTGCCCGGTGACACGTACTTTTGTAACTGTAGATAGTACATCATGGCCCAGGTATCCTTCCTTCTTTCCTTCCAGCTGTAGCTTGAGCTAAGTTTTGCAAGTGAGGAGCTGCTGAGGCGGAAGTCCTGCTGCTTGCTTAAGAAACCCAAAGCCGCACACAGAAGGTGGAAGCTGGGGACTCTCCCCAGGGTCCCCTCCTTGAATGGTTTTGCTCCTGATGTGAACTGGCCGGGTTCGTTCTTGGGGTTTCTTTCTAAGTGCTTGATGCTCGGACTGCAGAAGCCCCCTCCCCTCCCCTCCCCTTCCGGCTGGTGAGGCCCCAGAGCTATCCTGGAGGTTGCTTGGCCTGTGCCGCTCCCCCAGGCCTGAGTGGGCCAGTCCCTCGTCTCTGCCTCTCGGGGGGGCGGAACTTCCTCCCTGCCAGAGAAGCCAAATCCGAAAACTCCTGTTATAGAAAATATTTATTGGTCCAGTAACAGCAGTGAGGAAGTGACTGTGGCCCCCACTGGCATGATGCCAAAAGGCCCCCTGCCTAGCTGACAGCCCCTCTCTGGGTTGTGTGCATGTTTAGATGTGCAAGGGATTTTAAGCATCTGTTGTAGTAATCAGGGAGGTGGAGCTGGGGGAGTAGGGATGGTGGGGTATAGGGCCCCCTCCCCTCACAACAGGCACAAGTACCTGGGAAATGTTCGGGGATTTGGGTTTCCTTGCTACCCCCCTGCCCTGCAGGATGAATGTGGTTCTCCAGCCAGTCCCTGATGGTAGGGCAAGAGCCCAGTTGGCTGACACTCGCCTGCATGCTCAACCCTAATTCCATGCCCTCTGAGAAAACCCCACACTTTCAAAGGGCCAAAGGAAATGCAGAGAAGGAGCGGCCCCTTCCAAACGCCCCTGCACCAGGAGGCACTAGCCACCACCCTGCAGGATCGCTGGCCAGAGCGCCAGAGGCAACTGAGCTCTGACGTGGGCCTTGAGCCAATGAGGAAGGGCTCCAGGGGTGTGCCCTCCCCTTGCAAACTCAGACAACAGATGGAGCAGGTCTTGGGGGGCCCTTTGGAAAAAAATTTCCAAGGGTGAGAAGACGTTTTCAATCAGGGGCCCCTGGGACCAAGCAGGGAGGTAGCCACATTGGCTTCCCCCTTCCAAGGACAATACTTATTGGGGAGAGTATTGAACCCTATTTTGGAACTTCTGCCACCCCCACCCCCCACAGCACTAACCAGAAGCAGGGGAGACCCGCCTCTCCTGAGCACTGCCCGCCCAGCACTAACCGCATTCCCAGGCTCCTCCAGGGGCTGCAGGCCGACAACTTCCTGGGGCAGGAAGGGTGGGGCAGGCAAAGGGTCCTTTCACCTTCACTACCTTCCTCCATTCCCCGCCTGGACAAGTAATAAATATTTCCCCACCCGCCCCAGCTCAGGCTCGGCTGCGGGGGGTGTGGAGGCAGCGGGGGGGCTGTCCGGTGGGCACAGTGCTGGGGGGGCACAGGCAGCGGTAGGAGCCGTCCAGGTTGAGGCAGCGACCACCAGAGCAGAGCCTCTCCATCTCCCTGCATTCGTCAATATCTACAGGGGAGGAGAGAGACGGAGTCAGGTCACTGGAGGACCAGGCGTCGGAGCGGTCGAGATTTGGCCAGAAAGGCGAGCCACAACCCGGCAGCTGGGGGGCAGGCAGAGGCAAGCGAAGCGCAAGGGGAGGGGGCCCCTCTCACCACGGCAGGCCATGTGGGTTGGGTCAAGACGGTAGCCCTCATTACAGGAGCAGGTGAACCCGTCGGCGACTTGGACACACTGCCCATTTTCGCAGCCACTGAGGATCCCGCACTCCTCGGGCCGGAGCCCTCCAGCGCCTCCGAAACGGCCTGCTGCCGAAAGACCCACAGACAGCGAAACGAGGCTTCCTTTTGGCTCTGGCACACCCAGAGCCCAGCAGCCACACCTGCCCCTGCCCTCCTTTTCCCCTCCTAGAGGCTCCTCTAGGCCTTCTTTCAAGCCAGAGCCACCCAGAACACAACCGGGAGCCCGCCCACCTGCATCTCCCACTCACGGTAATCTTCGCTGGCCCGGCTGGGCCGCTCGGGATAGGAAGGCCCACGGCCATGGGATGGGTAGTGCCAGTCCGATTCAGGGGGGCTACGAGGCTGGTATCCACCCCGGGGTGGCTCAGCTGGGCTCTCCAGCTGTGTGTCACTGTAGGATGCATCGTCCAGGCCAGTTGCCTCATAGGGTGATGGGCCGTAGAGCGACTCGCGAGGGAGCGGGTTGTAGCCAGGAAGTTGAGGGCCAGGCCGGGCCAGGGGGTTGTAGACCTCAGGGCCATAGGGCAGAAAGTCGCCTCCACCATATTCAAAGGGCGCCCCCAGGCTCCCTGCCCGCATCAGCCCATAACTGGGGCGCTGAAGGACATTGCACAGGGCTTCAAAGTCATCTGGGGGAGGGGAAAGCAAAGGTGTGGGGGGGTAGAGGGCAGAGACTTTGCAAAGCAATGAAGGCACAGGGTCAGAGTCTCACTGGGCCCCCACGGTATGGCTATATGGACGGGATGTTGAAAAAGGACAGGATCATCTCCAGAGGAAGTGCGGTAAAAGGTGGCCCCCCAGCATCTCCCCACGTACCCCTGGGAGGCCCTGAAAATTCCTCGATAAAATTTGCACTGAGAGAGAAGATTCTCAAAGAACTGCAAAGCTGGACAAAGTAGAGGAAATCTGGGGTGGCGGTGGGGGTGGCTTAGGGAAAAGGCAAATCATGGCAGACCGAGGTGTATACCACTGCACGCAAGATGGGAACTTTTCTTGTGGGACAAAATCACCCGCGAACTCCTTTCCACCCAATGCCAAGATGGCCTCCAATCCATACAGCTTGAAAGAGAAAACTAGACAATGAGAAGGCTCCTCTCAACAGCTCCTAGCACCACTGTGGTTCTTCCTTTCCAGCACCTGAGGCAGCTGGAGAGGATGGGAGATGTTCTGGTCCCCCTCTCTGTTCACTAGCTCCTCTACTCAGTCCCTGCAGCTGTCACTGGCCTCACTCCTGTGGGGAAGAAGGGGACCTACCAGAGTCCCGGGCTGGGCACAGAGCACAGTTCATGCTCCAGGCTTCCCCATAGAGACAGCAACACTCCGTGTAAGTCACCCGGCGGTCCAGGCGGGGTCGGCTGCACACCAGGTCCGGGCCCACCTCTTGCCAGCATACAGCCAGGTTGTCATCTGGGGGAACCGAGCAGAGAGGCTTCAGAGAGGAATTGCCAGGGTGACCCGTCCCTGCTGGCACCTTTCCAAAGAACTGGGTATCAAGGATCGTGTTGTAATCAGAGTCTCCAAGCACCTCTCTGGCCATCTGGCAGAGAAGGCGGTGCCCTGGGCTAGAATTGATGGGCAGAGAGGTGGGGCAGTACAAACCCAAGCCGTGGCTCTCATTGGTCACGCAACGGCGCTGGGAGGGGTCCAGCACCAGGGGAGCAGCACAGGAGCAGTAATAGGAGCCAATGGTGTTGACGCAGTGCCCCCCCACACAGGGCTCGGCTTCTTCATCCAGACACTCATCGTTATCTGGGGTGACAAGGGCATCAGTCGGTCTCAGGACTGCAAGCACATCAGGAGCTGGGGGGCAGCAGCACAGCTGCCAGGAGAGCCACCCCAAGTATTCCCTAGCCAGCACTCACCAATGCACTCCAGGTGCTGCGTCTCATAATAATAGCCATTGGGGCAGTAGCAGGAGTACCCAGGAATCTTGTTCACACAAACCCCACCCTTGCACACCTGAGAGCTGAAGAGGGCACACTCATCCACATCTGTGTAGGAACATCGAGTTGGGGATCAAAACAAAAACAGTGAAGAACCCCCCCTCCTCCATGAACCCCCAGCCCCATTTAAGCCTGCCCTCCCCAACCCTGCAGCAGAACTGGCCCTGTCTGGACACCCACAGTAGTTCCCACCTGCGACAGCCGGGACGTTTCTGATGTTGATGGTAGCGTAGCCACTGCCGTGAGGACACAAGCTCTGGAATTCAGCTGGAGGGAAACAGTGCATGTCTCAGCAGCTGCCCAAAGGGCCCCGAGTGCACCGCCCTCCCTCAGTCTGGTGGCTCAAGAGTGGGAAAAAGACCTCCTTTTCAAGCGTCCCTTCTGTTCCAGCTCCAGTTTAAAACCACGGAAATAGCCTTCATAGATACCTTCCGAGAAGATCCAAGACTGGGTAGATGGTAAACCCGAGGACGTTCCTAAAGGGCAAACTGGGCCTTTGGAGACTGTTGGTTTCCTCCAGAGCCATCCTGTGCTGACAGGCACCCTCAAGAGAACCCACCATCTGGAACCAATTTAGTGCCCTGAATGCAAGTTCCCATTTGTGAGAATGGCTCTCTCCCTCCCCATTTCCTGTTTGATTCCTAGAAGTCATAAGCACTGCCGCGTGCAGGATGGCCAATACCCTGCTAAAGGCTGGGGATTTCCGTGGCCAAGACAGCCTGGCTGAGCACCTCCCAGAAAGGGGGATCTGCGAGGGAGATCAGAGGCTGGCTTGCAGCATCTTAAGCCACAATCTCTCCCCTTTGCATTTCCCCAGAACGATGCAGGCACTTGTGGTGAGGATGGATCAACCCCTAAGCCTGGCCATGCTCACACCGCCTGCTTTGGCCACCCTGGAGACTTCTGCCTATGCATATCTGTTCAAAGGATCAGAGCCCTTGCAGAGAACTTGGGTGCGCTTGGCAGTTTGACTTGGGCCCATGCAACCCCTGCCTCTCTGCCTTGTTTCAGCTGCAGTGCAGACCTACTTTTGCCCCACAGCTCACACGGCTCGATGACACGGTTCTTGCCGCCTGAGCCCGAACCATACTTCAACGCCTTGTATGGCCAGTAGGAACGACGCTTAGCAGGAGACCTGCCTCTTCCACTGGGTGCTTATAATGGGTGGGCCCAGCACCACCACACAATGCTTTGGAGAAGCCTGTGAGGGGGAGGGTCCCCCAAATGCAGCTTTCCCAAAAAGTGGGTGGGACCAAAATGGGCAGGCAATTCCAATGAAACAGAGGATGAAAATGAAAAACTTGTCCCCTCACTCAAGTAGTTGCTAATTTGTACCCAGCGCTTAAATGGCCTGCACAGGCCAACCAGGAGGAAGCTGCGGCTGGGAGAGCAGCAAGCAGCCCCCTGCCTCATTTGGTGGCAAAGGGGCCCGAGGCTGGGGGGCTAATGCATCTCACTCTATGTAGAAGAGCAAAGAGGATGGTCTTGGAGGACCTAACCCTAATCTTAACCATGGTAGCAATCAGAAAAGCACAGTTTAAGCCCATCCCTTAACTTGAAAAAACCCTCAGTCAGGCCCCTCTTGTTCACATGAAGATGGGGGAGGGGCACATTCAGGCTTGCAAGATTCTGTTACTAGAGCTGTTCCAGTCGAAGTAGTTCTAGTCCTACATGGCACTGGTCTAGCACTGCACCAGAGCCCCTGCCGGGCGGCGCTGTTTACCCTCCCAGCCTTACCTGTCCCCAAGGAGGGGCAGGCCTGGATGTGGCAGTCAAGGCCCCAGCCGTGGCCAAGGCTGCAGCAGCACTCCTGGCGCGTGGTGTTCCTGGCCAGAACGTTCTCACAGGCCTGGGCTGCATTGGGGTCATAGTAGCACTCGCGTTGCAGGCCGTCACTGCTCTCTGACTGCACAGCATCCGGGTGCCTGGGGAAGGCTGGGGGACGAGCTGCAAGGAGAGGCCTTGATGGAACCCTTCGTTCAGCAGGTTACTGCTAAAGCGCTCTGCCTGGGGTGCCTTGGGTAGTCCAGAATGCAGTGGGTCTGCCAACGGGCAGCAGCCAATTTGGCAACATCACGCCTATTCTGCAGTTACTCTGTTGGCGACCTGGTTGCTCCCATTCAAAAGGCCAGTTATTGCCTTTAAAGCCCTACGTGGCTTGGCACCCAGGTATCTACAGGACCACCATCCCACCCAGTCTTGGCCCACCCGATTTGATCTGAGGGCTCCCACCCCATGACGGCGATGAGTCTTCTCAGCAGTAGCCTTTGGAACCCTTTCCTTCCCAAAATAAGGGATGCCCTCAACCCCCTGCTCTTCAAGAAGGCCTTAAAAGCATTTTGATTCCATAGAGCATTTTGGGTGCTGCCCATACTGGCTTGCCTTAATTAATATGCTATGTGCCTGATGACTTCTAATTGTTGCGTGGCATTGAAAACCACCACAAATCCCTCTGGAACTGGATAGTCTATTTGTGGATGAAACACATCACTGGCGGTGGTTGAAATCTCCAGAACTGCTGAAGCTGCTGCTCCAGCCTCCCCCTGCAGGCTGCAGCTACTCCTGCATTAGCCCAGGAGGGGCTCCCTGGGGGAAAAACTGCAGCTGCTCTCTTAAAAAACCCCATGCGAGGTCTGGAGATGCCATTAATGCCAGGGGCAGTTTGGAGCTTTGAGAAATCAGAGGAGGGGACATCCATGGCTGCCCAGCACATTGCTTCAGAGGCAGCCTACCCCCAAAGGCTGCCCACTGCGAAGGCCGCTCTGCTGATGGACTCCCAGAGGCATCTGGCCACTGACCCTGGGGAGTGGGGCCAGTTGGAAGTGCCTATGCTGACCCAGCGCCAGGAGGTCCTTGCCTCTCAGCTGGGGAAGGAGACCGAGCTTTTGCACCACAGGCCTCTCCCCACTTCAATCCCTCCCAAGCCCCCTCCCCCGCCTCTCACCAGCACCGGGCAAAGCAATGCAGTGGCCAGTCATGGGGTCAAACTCTTCACCAGCTTGGGGGCAGATGCACAAGAAAGAGCCTTCCACGTTTTCACACGGTGCTGTTCCACACACCCCCTGTAGTGTCTCACACTCATTCACATCTGCGAGGAACAGGTGGAGAAGCAGGAAAAAGTTCCCCCTGGAATCCAGCCCTCCACCTCTCTCCTACAGCAGAAGGCTGCATTCCCTCTGCCCGTCTCAGGACCTCCCACCCCATGCCCTGCTGCCAGCCACATACCTAAGCAATGCCGTCCATCCCTGGCACTTTCATAGCCCTGGTCACAGATACACTGGAAGGACCCAAGCAAGTTGTGGCAGATGGCATGGGCACCACACACAGAACTGTTCTGGCACTCGTCCACATCTGCAAGAGTTACATCCACCCACTCAGGAGGCCTCATGATCTTTTGGTGGGCTGCTGAGTTGCAGAAGCCACCACTGAGGGGCTCCTTCTCCTGCCCATGGTCCAAATACCATGGATGTCCTCACCTACGCAGTCCCCAGTAGCGGTGGCTTGGTAGCCCGTCTGGCAGCTGGCCACACAGTGGTAGGACCCCAGTGTGTTCTCACATCGCTTCTCTCCACACACCCTGTACTCCTGGCATTCATTGATATCTGAAGCGGGGAGCCACATATTGGCACAGATGCAAGACTTAACAAGAAGGAAGAGAAGCCCAAACATCCCAGGCAGAGGGTCTTCTGCATTCTCGGGGAAGGCTCGCGTGCACACGGTTTGTGATGGTGCACAGCAGTTGCCCAGCACCAGCCCCTCACCAGCCCATGAGACCCAGAAGCCCAACAGCAGCCAGCCCCTTCTGCATGGCCCTGGCAGCACTCACCAACACAGTCTCCCGTGGCGCTGGTTCGGTAGCCAGCCTGGCAAGCCGCTACACAGCGGTACGAGCCAGCTGAGTTTTCACAGTGCTGTGTTCCGCAGAGAGCTGCCCCATACTCCTGGCATTCGTCAATATCTATGGGACGTAGGAAGAGAACAAGGCTCAGTAGGAGCTTCCTGTCCCTGGTGAGGGTTCGGAATTCCAGGGACCGAACCATGTCTTAAGCATCCAAGGGTCTGACCAACTACTGTGGAGCATCCCAGAATAAGCCCGTGGGGCCCCCATGTCTTCTGCAAGGGGACAAATGTGGCAAATCGCACTCTGGGGGAGCCCTTGCTGCAGGCCCTCCTGGGAGAACTACCAGCTAGAGCGGCATCAGCATCGGGGTTGAGAAGCTCTTGGCTTGTGGTCCTCCTCAGCGGGGCCGCTAGCGCCATATCAGGCAGAGTCAGAGTTTGTGCTTATCATGCAGAAGGTCACTTGGCTAATCCTGCGCCAACAGGAGCTCCCAAAGGGCTGGAGACCCCAAGGAACAACAGCTCTGCTGTCTTGCAGCTTCAACCAGAGTTCTGACTCCCCTGCCAGCCTCGGGTAGGGAGGGAGACAGAAGGACCCCACCCCACCGCACCCAGAGACAAACTGCCGCGAGGCTGCAGCCAAGAACTGCCACTCACCCTCGCAGGAAGCCTTGTTAGGTGTGCTGCGGGTGCCGGGGGGGCAATAACAATCGAACGAGCCATCGGTGTTGGCACAGTGCCCTCCAGCACAGGCCGCGGTGCTGAGGCACTCGTTGATGTCTGTGCAGAGGCCAAAGGGGAGGTCAGCAGGGCAAGACCACCGCAGCGGTTTCCTGGACCTCACCCCCACTTGGCATGCATTCAATGGCCCCCCCAATGAGATTGCAGGGCCTCTTACCCTCACAGGAGCCCCCGTCAGGGGTTGCAATGAAGCCCTGGGCACACAGACAGGTATAAGAGCCCTCGGTGTTGAGACACTCGCCCCGTGGGAAGCAGAAGTCGCCCTCCAGGCATTCGTTAACATCTGACAGGTGGACAGTAGGGAGAGATGAGCAGAAACATTGTTCTTGCCAGTGCTGCCCACGTCTATGCCTGAAGGGAACCCAGAGCTTGGAGAGGGGTTCAGTGTGGGTCCACAGAAAGGCGGCAGCCCCTGACCAAACCCAACTTGGGCCGGCACTTTCCTCTGACTTGCGGCACTCACCCACGCAGGATGTCCCCCCCACGCCCTCTGTCCGGTACCCTCGGGCACAATGGCAGCGGAAGGAGCCCTCCGTGTTGAAGCAGCGCCCCTGAGGGCCGCAAGGCAATCCTGTTGCTGCGCATTCATCAATGTCTATGGAGGGAGTGCGTCTGTCAGGGTGGTGAGCCTGTGGTGCCCCCAGGCCTCCCCCCTCCCCTGTCCCACTGCTCACCCAGGCACTGGTTCTCCGTGAGGCTGGCACGGAATCCTGCAGGGCAGAGGCAGCGGTATCCTCCAGGCACGTTCTCGCAGCGCCCAGAGCCACAGGGTGGAGGGCTCTGCAGGCACTCATCGACATCTGTGCATGGGACAGAGGAAGAGGCTACATCACAGAGTGCTCCTATGGACCTACTCAGGGTCTCCGGGCTCTGGGTGCTTCAGAACAAATCCAACAGAAGTGGGTTATCTGGGAGTGAAAGGGAGCCTTGCTGCGTGTGAACAGGGTGCTGTCGTGCCTCAACTGTGGACAGGGGACAGACCAACCCACGGTGGCAGCTTCTCCCTGGCCCCCTTACCTGCACACAGCGTCCCTAGTGGGTTGGGCTGGTAACCAATGGGACAGCTGCAGCGATATCCCCCCAGCACGTTCTCACAGTGGCCAGGCTGGCAGGCAGGAGGGCTCTCTTGGCACTCGTCTACATCTGGAAAACCACACTGTGAGTTCGTGTCCTAGGTCCTTCCCTGCCTTCTATGTGCACTCAGCCCCGCACATGCTTTACATGTCAGAAAAGGGAAGCCCTGGCAAAGGAGGACCAGGAGTGCCAGTGGTGGCCAACCACTGGTGAGAAGGGAGACCCGTGCTTAGAGGTACTCCTCCAGGTGGACTCGAGGTGCTGCAGCAGATATGGGGAGCATGAACCCTATCAGCGAAGGGAGTGAGCTCTCAGGTCCCAGACAGGGAAGGGCCCCTGCTCTCGCCCCGGCACTGGCTGGTAACCAATGGGGCAGGCCCAGCAACAAGAGGGGTGGGGAGGGGGGCCCTCTGGGAGCACTCATCACTATCTGCAGCCAGAGACAGAGAAGAGGGCAGGCGGCCTTGCCCCCGGGTGGGTAACTCCCCTGCAACCACGTTTTCCAAGAGCAAAAAAACATTCGGGTTTCTCTAAATAATGCTGCATTTCAATGCCCCACCTGCCTCCGCACGCAAGTAGAAAGGTCAGGGGAGGCAGAGGAAAGGAGCTGGTGCTGCCGGCCAGCCTCTCCGCTCCCGCCAAGGCACCCACCCCTATTACCTCGGCATTCAGAGCCAGAGGGGTCAGGCTGATAGCCACTGGGACAGGAGCAGCGGAAGGAGCCCAGGGTGTTGCGGCAATGCCCACCCGCACAGGGCTGGGGCACTTGAGCACATTCGTCAACATCTGGAAGGGAAGTCGGGCAAGTAGAAAGGTTAGAGGGTAGGCAGAGGAAAGGAGCTGGTACAGGGATGTGGGTACATGATGGGATGGCCAATTCCCCCAATGGCAAAAGCCTCCAGAACACTTACCCTGGCACTCCACTCCAGAGGGGTCAGCGCGAAAGCCAGCGCGGCACCTGCAGCTGAAACTCCCCAGGGTGTTCTGGCAGTCCCCGTTGGCACAGGGGCGTGGACTGCGACGGCATTCATCCACATCTGGAGAGGGGGAGGAAGGGAGTGTGGCTGGCAGCATGTTGGTGAAAGGAGGAAGAGTTTGGAAGGGCAGAACATCCAAGAGGGGCCCATTAATCTGTTCCTCCCCCCACATGCCCAGGGCCAGATGGTCAGGGCTAGGGAAGCTGGGCTCAACCCAGAATCCCCCAACAGTGTAAAACCTAAGCTCGGAGTTTTCCCTGAGCATCTATCTCCGAATGACAACCAGAAGCTGTGTCTTTCAGGTGGCCTAGAAGGTGAACTTGAATAGCTCTGCATGCCACCCCAAAGGGCTGGGCTAACATCAGTGCCCCCTCAGTTTTGGGCCCCCAGTTCTCCCAACTCACCAATGCAGTGGGTGCCTTGAGGGCTCAACCAGTAGCCACGCTCACACACACAAGTGTAGCCCCCCTGGCGGGGGATGCAACGTCCTGGCCCGCACACCTGGGGGTGCCGTTCACACACCCCTCGCCCAACCTCTGGGAGAAGAATGCCATGGGGACCTAGTCATTTCTGCTCTCTGGCCTTTCCTCCCTCTCCACACCACCACTGCAACCAGCCCCTCGCCAACTGGCATGGCCCTGCTAGAGGCCAAGGCCCCACCTTCAGTACTTGGTGCAGGTGGCCCAGATCCAGGTGACTGAGTGGGCAGGTTCCAAGGAAAGCGCTCCAACAGGGTAGTGGGTGGGGAACTCCTGAGAACTGCAAGCCAGAAAGAGCTGGCATAAGGAAGAGGGGAGGCAGAGGAGCTCCCGGACGCCTGCGCTGGGCAACCTTGGGGCACACATCGTGGCCAGCCTGAACTGAGGGTGTGTTCAGAGGTGGGTTCCCTCAGATGGGCCTTGGGGGAGCGCAGCCCAGAGGGGCATCTCCAAGCTTTCAAGGACAGCAATCCAGGAGCACATACCGAGGGCTGGTGCTGCTGTTGTGCGAGGCAGCCAGGAGGAAGGTCCCTGCCTCCCTTGCTGGCGGGTCACAGGCACCCTGGGAGGGTCCTGGCCAAGGAAGCGAGTGTCATAGCGGAGGTCAGAGGCGGAGTAGTGATAGCCGGGTCCGGCTGGACAGATCTCCTTGAACCCCTCTGCCAGAAGAGCAGCAGCAGCAGGTAAGCGAGAGGGCAAAGCAGGCACTTCCTTGTGCTGGTGCCTATCCTGAGGGTCCTCAGAGACTCCCCCTTCATCCCGCAAACCAGTCCGCACGTGCTCCAGTGTCGTTCTCTGCCCCCCCTTTACTACGGCATCGCTAATAAACGTGTGCTTCTTCCATAGACCCCTCGCGCCACTGCCAGCCTCACCCGAGCCGAAAGGCGGACACCGCTCGCAGCCCTTGCCCCAGGCCTTGCCCACTCGGCTGCAGCAGCAGATCTGTTTGGTGATGTTGCGGAGGATGGGGAGGGAGCATCCAGCGTCCCGCAGCACTCGAAAGCAGGGACCTTTCACCTCTGAGATCACGTGGTGGGCTGGGGGGGCGACAGAAAGACCGTAAAGCATAGGGGTCGGCTCTGGCTAGCCAGCGGTCCAGGTGGTGGCTGGGTCTCCCCACCCAACCCCACCACTGGCTCTGTGGGTCAGTCTGTTTCTAGCGTAAGGTGCCAGCTCAGCCTGGGCACCCCGGGGAGAGTGGCTGTTTGCTACAAGGCCTTAAAATCCATTGATCCTTCCCCAATATAAAATTTTGCTTCATCTTAGATAAATTTGCATTCAGCTCAGATCACTTGGTTGTATAATTTGCCCAGTTTTGAATAACAAGTTAAAGATTTATTTCTTAATATCTGGACACAATTTCTGATCAATTGATTATATGTTTGGTACAATCTTGCTTTTCAATGGCCTGCATGTGGAAAGTGTTGCTTTCTCAACAGTCTGATTTTGCTTCCCCCTTTCACCTTTGTGTAAATTCTTCAAACTGAATGAACATTCAGTTCAAACCAAGCAAATGTTAAACGAGAACTTATTTCACCTCCAGTTTTTCACCCTTTGGGGTTTCCTCCATGTTGCTCTGGATGTCCAGGAGATGGCAGCATCTGTCCACCTAGACCTGCCTGCCTTGGGAGCCAGGAGGCGAAAAGATCCCCCCCACATGCCCCCCAGCCATCAGCAGGTTCATTTCCCAGGCTCAAGCCAGAGCAGCTGTCCTTCCAGCCCTCTGGACATCCAGATGGAGCCGGTGTCCCCCCACTCTCCAGCCCTCCAGCCCGCCTTCCCTTGCGGGCTAGACTCACAGATGCAGCTGCTGCGGGAGGAATCAAGGATGTAGCCCTCGTGGCAGACGCAGGCAAAGCTGCCGCGCGTGTTGGTGCACTCCCCGTTTTGGCAGAAGCTGCCCTCCTGGCACTCATCCACATCTGGCAAGGGGGAGAGGGTGTCAGGATGGCTGGGGAATCAGCTAGGGGAGGCTACCCCCCCGCCCAGCAGGTCCAGCCTCTCAGCAAGGCACCCTGCGGTCTCACGCAAGCCTTTGGCCGTTTGAGGGAGAAATCCCCCCCCCCAGCAATCCATCCAGAGGTAGCCCAGCCCACTCACCAATGCAGGAATTATTCAATCGCAGAAACCCTCTGGGGCAGCCCACTTCATTCCTTCCGACTGGCCCAGAATCCCCTGTGGGGACACATCCTGCCTCAGGCATTGAGAGTCCACCCAACCTCCCTTTCCTGAGCAACCGCTCCCCTCCTCTGAGATGGCTTGTCATGGGGGAGCGTGAAAGAGGGGGGGTCCTCCAAGCAGACGGCTGCCTCCGTCTTGCTTTTGCCCTGGGGGGGGGGGGGGGGGGTTTT